CCACTTCCCCTACCCCAAAACACACACACCCACCCACACCCCTTCTTCCCTAGCCAGTGGGAGCCCTGAACACACACACACACCCCCAAACACCCACACCGGTGGGAGCCCTGAGCATGCACGCACACACACGCACACATTCCTTCCAAGCCAGTAGGGAGTTCTGAACACATAACACACACACGCACCTTCTTTCCAAGTTAGTGGGAGTTCTGAATACACACATACATACACACATACACGCACACAACCTTCTTAGCCAGTAGGAGTGCTGAACCTCAACTACCATGAGTCAGGGCTCATCTCTAAGCATCACTTTACTGGTGCTTCTAACTACCCCAGCTTAAAGCGATCACCTCTGCCACCCCTAAACCCTACAGCACTGGCTGTGACTCCCTCTCCTGTGGCGCTCAGCAGACAGTACTGCATTTTCTTTCACACTCATTCATCGTAGCTGTGAGACTAGGGCTGTGCTTTGCAACCCCCATAGCACCTGGCATATATTGCTCTGCATTCAATGTATATTTGACATCTCTGTTCTTTTGGAAACACTAACCCATGTATTTTGAATTTTATACCATTTGTAGATGTACCAGCAGCAATACGTCCTGTCTTATGGATTACAACCATGCCTAGAAGTTAAAAAAATAAACAAACAAATAAACCACTGTAGGTGTATAAAGTTTACCTCAAATATAACCAAATAATTGAGCAGGCGGTAATAACTGCTGTGGTCTGAATGTTTGTGTTTCCCCAAATTCATATCAACATCCTATTCCACAAGGTGATGGTATCAAGAGGTGAGGCCTTTGGGAGCTGATTAGGTCATGAGGACAGAACCCCCATGAATGGAATTCACGCCCTTATAAATGAGGCCCCAGAGAGCTTCCTCGTCCCTTCCACCATGTGAGGACACAGCAAGAGGACGCCATCCATGAGCCAGGAAACAAGCTGTCTCCAAACTCTGAACCTGCCAGTGCCTTGATCTTGAACTTCCCAGCCTCCATAACTGTGAGAAATAAATTTCTGTTGTTTAGAAGCCACCCAGTCTGGGTATTTTGTTAATTGCCATGGTAACAGGCAATTAACATTATTCATTAACAGGTGGGGCCTTTAAGAGGCGATTAAGGCTAAAAGGGCTTAATGCCATTATTGCAGGGAGTGAGTTCCTGATATGAAGGATGAGTTCTACCCGATTTCCTGTCTCATTCTCTTGACTGCCACCTTGGGATGGCCCTTGCCAGATGCCAGCACCTTGTTCTTGAACTTCTCAGGCTCCAGAACTGTGAGCCAAATCAACTTTTGTTTATAAATTACCCAGTCTGTGGTAGTCTGTTATAGCAGCGAAAAACAAACTAAGACAAAAACTAATGTAAATTTTTAACATTATAACTTGGAAAAAGTTATTTAAGGTCACTAAAATACAGCAACATAACACTGCCAAAAAATGAAATATCAAATAAAGATTTAAAAATCCACAAGTGAATAGTCACTGGGTTTTAGTTGTCTTATATAAATAATTTACCAAATTTTATATAGTTGTTAAGACAAGAATGATCAATCTATAGAGAGACACACTTAATTGGCAGTTAAAACAATCAAAATCAACTGCCGGTAGAAGAATAGGGAAGAGCTACAGTAAGATAATTAACTAAACTTTATCCATAAAAACTGCACAAAAGGCAAATTACCAATAGTGTCATGACCACGATTATCTTCTGTTTCTTTATGGATAGGAATATCCTGCTTTAAGATACCAAGTGGTTTGTAGGGTCCGCAGTATTTTGAGGGATCTGGTACAACATTCTGTAAACAAGATTTAAGTTTTACTTCTTACAAAGGGTATTTTTAGAAATTGCCAAGAAATTACGTACAATCACTAAACACTAGCAACAAATCAAGAAAAGACATGTGGTAACTTAAAGATAAGAATTAAAAGCTAAGAAATCACTAAGTCTCATATAAAAACAAATAAGGTAAATAATTTTACTCAATATCCATTCTAGTCTAAGAATTAAATAATACAGGTGAGGTATCTATATTGCATGACACAGGTCCCTAATTTGTCTCTTTATATGCCTAATATTCTCAACACAGTAGTAGATATAAAGTGTTTTAAAATTAGACATTAATCCTTAAACAAATTAGATACACACTGGACCTCTAAATTTCAGAAATTTGTTCCTTGGCAAAGAATTCTGAGATTTAAAGTAAAATATGTTTTAAAAGCTTTTATTGTTTTTTCAAAGCTAGGTTTATGTGAATATATTCTAAGTTGTGCTTTAAGATATCTTTATAAATCTTAAAGGCTCGAGAATATAACGCAAACTCATAAATTTAGGTTGTGTATGTAGACTGATATTGAAACAAGGAACCTATTCCTATTCCTCATGTCTTACACATCGGTGCACTAAGTGCCTCCCCTAACTTCATTTTATGATTAGCCTCTTTCAAGTGCTAACCCAAGGGACTTCTGACTTGATGGCTACTCAAAAGTAATTAGGACTTAGGGAAGAAATAGATGAGGGACTAAGATATCCCACAGAAGGACTCTGTATGGCAAAGGCAAACTGATTTATGCTAAAAGTCCCATTAAAGACAAATCATTCCACTGGTAACATACTAGACATGTAATATTATACGTTCTCAAGTCAAGAACAAGATATTGGATATACTGCACATAGATAAAATCTAAGAAATATTTTAGACTCATAGTTTCCAAACTGATTTTTTAGACTTAGTTACAAGGAAATACAAGCAGCAGCCCTGACTGAGGCAGCCACCTCCACATGACAGAAACTTCAGTTTGAAAACTGTTGCGAGAGACCAGTAGCTCTCCATGCTGGATATGTATCCGATGCAGCTAGAGGTGTTTCAGGAATATCTACACCTACAGAGTCAACTAAACTAAAACCACTGGTTCTAATGTACAGCCAAGATGCTAACCAGCACCCTAGACAACAGGCAGGCAACAGTGAGCAGAAAGGATGTTATTTAATATCTTCAATTAACTTATTTTTTAAAATTAAGTAAGTGTGCATACCCTCCAATAATTTGGCTGGCAATTCCGAGCAAGCCAATCTGAATGAAGAGCTTGAGAAGCACTGGTAGATAAATCTTCATTGACAAACCCCATACTTTCGGCAAATTTGGTGGCTGGAGATTGGAAAAAAGGAAAGTGTAAATTATTCGAGTATTGTCTTTTCAACAAAAATATATGTACTAGAGGCATTCTGGGTCAGCAGCATCTTAAGAGAGCTACACGACGACTTTCTAAGGAGTATTCATACATGAACAGTTTTAAGACACTCAATTTTTACACCTTCGATTTCCTTATGTCCTTCCTAAAACTGATCTACTTAAAGCCGCTGGGGTATGCGTTACAAGAGTTCTCATCCTGGCCGGGTGCGGCGGCTCATGCCTGTCATCCCAGCACTTTGGGAAGCAGAGGCGGGTGGATCACCAAGTCAAGAGATTGAGACCATCCTGGCCAACATGGTGAAACCCCGTCTCTACTAAAAATACAAAAATCAGCTTGGCGTGGTGCTGCGTGCTTGTAATCCCAGCTACCTGGGAGGCTGAGGTAGGAGAATCACTTGAACCCAGGACGGGGAGGTTTCAGGGAGCCGAGACCGTGCCATTGCACTCCAGCCTGGGTGACAAGAGCGAAACTCCGTCTCAAAAAAAAAAAAAAAAAGGAGTTCTCTTCCCACCTCGCCTCCTCCACAATTTTCCTCCTTCCACTTCACAAAAGAAAAGACACACTTCTCACCAATACTGAGTCTTAGAACTGCACTGAAACTAGACTGCAATGCCTGCATATAAAAAAAAACTTTGAGACACACCAAAGGAACAACTGAATTCCAATGAATGGGTAGCAGATCCTTTGACTTGTCAGGCAGTTTCTAATTCTGTAGATGCTACAAAATTGAGGGAAGACTACTGGAGTTGTTACATAATAGATCATTAACAATAAATTTTGACTACAGGTCACTGTACGGTTTTGGTCTGTAACTTGAAGGTGTTCAAATAACAGTACACCATCGTGCAAACACTTCCATTCCCTTCTTCTTAGAGATGAAGAAGTAAAGAGATTTAGAAGTTACTACCCCAGTTAAATTCGATGTTTAAGTTAAACACCAGCCGGAATTTGATACTTAGGTCTGCTTTTATCGCGATTTTGTCTAATTTTTCAGTGAGAAACTATAGTCAAAAGACAGAAAAAATTTCAGTGTAGTTAAAACAATTACCTGACCTCCTACTAAAAGTGTGGTGTGTTGTATGTTCCAGTTACTTTCCGTGCCACACCAATAGCTTTTTAATTCGTCTAAGATCTCCTACTGGCTCCTATATCCATTAGTAGTGCTGTAAAAATAGAATGCAGTTAAGAATTAAGGAAGTTTTCAGAGGTTCACCACGATTAAAAACATTGCTTTTCTCCAAATACAATTAGTGTTTTGCCAGTTAACTCCACCATCTTAACACAGAAGTGACAGCACCATCCATGAAGGTTCATATAGATTCCCACAATCGGACAAAATTAAGGGAAAAATGAAAATCAACTTGCCCATATACCACAACAGCACTAAAACTTCTCAGTTTCCCAAGCTAATTTTTAAATATGGCTTTCTGAAAGGGGCCTGAAGGCTTCAGGTCAGTGCAAACCACAGATTTGTGGACAAGCAGATAAACGAATTGTTTATAAGGTCACGAGACATATGTTTCTTTAGCGTTTTCGGGCGCATTGTCCTCCCACCGTCTGCTAAGCGAACTACCTCATCTCGTCCATGGATATTTCTATTACTCTGAATTTTTTTTTTTTTTTGAGTTGAATGGGAAACTGTGTTTCAGTAAAGGTCAAGTATAATAAGCTAGGGTTTTTTTTTTTTTTTTTTTTTTGAAGACGGATCCTTGCTGCGTCGCCTCCATGCGTAGAGTTGCAGTGCTCGAATCTCAATCTCACTGCAACAACTCCCGCCTCCCGGCGTTCACACTTCAGCTCTCGCTCGCGGCCCTAGTTTTTTTTTTTTTGTTATTTTTTTTTTTGTAGAGACGGGGTTTTCACCGTGTTAGCCAGGATGGTCTCGATCTCCTGACCTCGTGATCCGCCGGTCTGGGCCTCCCAAAGTGCTGGGATTACAGGCTTGAGCCACAGCGCCCGGCCTAAGCTAGGGGTTTTGACCTGTGACAAAACTCATGCATTCTTTCATCTTGCTCTCAGAAGACCACAACTCTAAATGTAACTCAACATAATAAACAGGACCTGAACGGTGTTCTTACCCTTCCATGATCATGGCATCTAATGTGGTTTCTCCAAGTTCATCAGGACTTCCTCCAAAGCCTACAGAGCCGTCACACTGCTCTGTCTCACACATGGCACAGCCGCTCTCCACCGCATCCAGGGCAGAGCCTCCAGATGCTAATGCCCTCCACGCTGTTAATCAAATCCCAATAATGCTTGTTGATATTTATATATATATTTCAAAGCCAAATGCAACAAACCAATTCCAATTTAACAACTTTTTTCACGTTTACTGAGTTAAACTGACTTTTTAACACATTAGTTTATCAAGTGCTACAAACGAGTCAGAGTCATAAGAGGCAAAATTATTTAACTAGTTAACAGAAGAACTCAAAAACTGGATATTGGTGCAAAGTGAAGTTTTTTTTTTTTTTCCACTTACTAATATCTATTTCCTCTGTGTGTAAGAAACAAAATCAGTATCCCCTCCTTTATTTTAAAAGGTACCATCAAAACTACTAAAAGGCAGTTAAATAAAAAATCCACTAAACCACAGCCTTCTTCACACATTTCTTCTGCATCATTAGATTAAAATATGCATAATTAATATATGTCTTGAGGTAACACCTATCCCAGCAAGTCTTAATAATACTGAACAGCAAACAATTACAACGTGGACTTCATATGGATTAGTTCATTGCGTCTTCATAACAGCTTCTGTGGTAGGTACTGTACAATCACGACCCTCATTTTAAAGAAAAGGAAACAGAGCCAGAGGCCAGGCAGTTAGTTGAAGGTCACACAGTTGGTAAGTAGCAGAGCCAGGATCCCGTACATGTGGGGGTGTGGGGAAGGCTCTTCGATGGACAATTTCTTTCCTGGTAATAACAGAATTCCTTGAAGGGCAGGTGCTCTTGTTGGTAGACACTTTAAGCATCATTACAGCACCTAGAGGCTTGTAAGTGTATTTACGCAAATTCCCTCTTTCAATACAGGCAGCTTACACAGAACTGTCCCCGCCCAGACTGCTGCACTTTCTTTTTGTCTCATTATCGCTGGGAATATCTTTCTCACAGCCTGTTTCTTCATTTTCTCTGACTCGTATGCACTGCCTATAATACGGAAATTTAGCTCCACCAAATTCTGGAGCCAATTCTGCCCCAGAAAGTTAATATATTAGCAACCTCAGATGGAGGAGGAGGGGTCTGAAAAATGACTCTTCTGGTCATTAAGCAAATGAAAGAAACAAACATAGTACAGAGGAACATGCCAGGATGATGGTACGTAAGGGCTATTAACAAGACGCAGAAGACAGGAACCGAACTCATTCCGGGCACAAGCACGAGGGCAGTTAGGTCGGACAGCTCTTCCGGGAAGAGGTGATACCTTAGCTTAGTGGTTCTCAACCCTGTCTGCAAATCGAAATCACCAAGGGAGCTTTTTTTTTTAAAAAAAAAAAACACAGTTGCCCTGGTTCCAGCAGTTAGATCACAATCACAGGAGGTGGGCGCCGCCAGGATGATTTCTGAGCAGCTCCGCAGATAGTGTTAACGTACAGCAAAGGTTGGAACCTCGAATTCTAGGTGGCAAGTAAAGCATGGCAACACGTGGCAAAAAAAGTAAATGGCAAAAGAGTTCGCTATGGCTGGGAAACTATTAGTCGTCTACAAATTTGCGAAGAAGTGAGGGATTAGAAATGAGAGGTGGAGACGTAGACAGCTCGCGAAAAGACTGAGTGTCAGGCAAAAAAGCGTACGTGCTACTTGAGTAAAGCATAAAGGCCATAACTATAGTCAGCAGCAGGGTGGAAATATTATTGCGCTGCAGAAGGGAGGACCTAAAATGCAGCAGTTGTAGGTAGGGAGGATGCAGGAAAGGCCACTTGGAAGAGACTGAGCGGCGCTGGAGACTCAGGAAGAGCTAGAGGGCGGGACCGCGAGGCCCGGCCCAGGCCGGCGCTCGTCAGTCCGCCTGGCCCGGTGACTGCATTGGGGGCGGGCTGATCCTCCCCACCCGCAAGCTCTCACGGCGCAGCCACCCACCCAGGCCGCCAACCCGCACCTGCTTCGGTTGCATTCTTAAAAGGCCAAGTGTTGAGGACCAGGGGCAGAGGGCTGGAGCAGCGCACTAGGGCCTGGCAGAGCAGAAGCGGCACGAGAAGCAGAGATAATTTCGACTTCCGCGCCATAGCTGAGCGCCGAGGGCACTAGCGCGAGAAAAGTCCCGGCAGCCAGCGATCGCGGAACAATTAATCCCAGGCGCCCCGCCCGCCTGGCGGTCACGCCCGCTCTCTCGGGGGTGCGCCGAGGCCTCCCTCAACTCTCGCGGGACCTGGCGTCTTTGGGCCTGCGGGGGCGTGGTGTCACGCGGTGCTGAGCTAGCTGTTCCCTGCGCTGAGGTGCTTCTTCCTAAGTGCTGTGCAGATTTTTAAAACAGCCAAACAAGTTGTTGCTTTTCCTGTTGTTAGATTTAGCTTGATATTGGGAAATTAATACAAAATTATTCAACTCTGGGTTGCAGGGCCCTAGGAAATTTAGCTGATTGCTGTGTGCTATGGATTTGGTTCTTTTACTGTCTTTTTAACTTGAAGTTGAAAAGTTCGTCAAACTCAATATATTCTTGGGGATCCCAGGCCTCGGAAATCTGCAGTAGTTATTGAGTGTAGGTGAAGCGTGTTTGCTTACTACCGGATTCATTTTAGATTTTTTTTCCATTCATAGCGTCTGTCATTTTCGCACCACGCGTCTTTGTAGCACTTTCTCATTATAAATGCCTGAGCTGGAAGAAAAACAAATGGCCTATGTACCCTCTACGTAGCACACTGAAGTACACCTTTCTGCACCTCCAGGACAAGAAGGCTACCTCCATTCCTTTTTGAATGTATATTCACCTTCCTGCCTGGCAACTATTAAGTGCTAAATAAATGAATAAAAGGAGGAATGGGGACTTTATGTGGCTGGTGGGGGCTCTCAGTTTTGTTGCTGGGCAGAGGTGCGAACATGAATTAATAATCCCTTTGGGCGTCTGGAATGCCTGCCCATGTTGCCAAGGCAAGACACATAATCAGGTAATGTTTTAAATGGTCTATAAATCTATGCAAACTTTAAAAATATGAACTAGGCCTGGCGCGATGTCTCATGCCTGTAATCCGAGCACTTTGGGATGCCGAGGCGGGTGGATCACGAGGTCAGGAGTTCGAGACCAGCCTGGCCAACATAGTGAAACCACATCTCTACTAAAAATACAAGAATTAGCCGGGCGTGCGGGTGCATGACTGTAGTCCCAGCTACTTGGTAGGCTGAGGCAGAATTGCTTGAACCCAAGAGGTGGAGGTTGCGGCAAACTGAGATCGTGCCACTTCACTCCAGCCTGGGCAACAGAGTGAGACTCCGTCTCAAAAATAAATAAATAAGTAAGTAAATAAATAAATAAACGTGAAAACATGAACTAGGTAGGAGTTTTGAGACAAAGCCTTCAAGGCTCTTATTGATTACTAGGAAATTAAATACATAATTTAAAGAACATAAGACAGCCCAGAAGTATAATTATCCCGTTGGGAAGTGTTATTTAAAAGGTACAATAAAGAGAAATTTTGTAAGTTCCTTTCATGGGGTTTGGAAGAGGAACAAGTCATCTGTGCTGGAGTAATCAGCATAACCCAATGGCAGGTGAAACTGGAAACTTGGGTGAAACAGGGTAAGAAAGCAAGAAAAACATGCATTGTCCTCTGAGTAAATTTTCCTCAGCTCCTGGGCTATTTTTATGCAGCCTTAAGGAAGTAGGACACGCCTTTAGCAAAAATTGTAAAATACAATACATGGAAAATTAGTCTTAGTACCCCCGATCTCTCTAGCCTCTTCCTGTTTTTTAAGGTATTTGTGTTTCTTCTGGTGGAAAGAGCATGATCTGTTATCTCCTACTATGTCTGTTTCTCCAAAATTATTTCTTCTTAAATAAAAATTACTGTCAGAGAAACAGCTAAATTACACTATAGTGGGAATGGCTGATAGAAGGTCTCAATATATCAACTTTTCCATGGATATTTGTATGTATGTATGTATGTATTTTTTGAGATGGAGTCTTGCTCTGTTGGCTAGGCTGGAGTTCAGTGGTGTGATCTCGGCTCACTGAAACCTCCACCTCCTGTGTTCAAGGGATTCTCTTGCCTCAGCCTCTTGAGTAGCTGGGATTACTACTGCCTGCCACCGTGCCTGGCTAATTTTTGTATTTTTAGTAGAGACAGGTTTTGCCATTTTGGCCAGGTTGGTCTTGAACTCCTGACCTCAGGTGATTACCCCCCCCACCCCCCCCCGACCTCCCAAAATGCTGGGATTACAGGTGTGAGCCACCGTGCCCGGCTGGGTATTTGTATTTAAATAACTAATATGCAACCCCTGAAGAATATACCCGATTCAGTGTCTTCATAGTGACTACTAAAATACCCAGTGGATCCACTGTCCAGTTTGCCTACACTGTGGCTATTTCTTAAAGAAGTTAAATTCGTCTGGATATTTGGTTCCTTCTGGAGTAGTTTTCCTTTGACTAACACTTGAAGAATAATTTTCATTTTAGTCCTAGAAGTAACCTTCTGTTACTCTCACTTAGGTGTTCTTTCAGGCCTAAATATAATTAGATGCTTTGCCTTTGTTTTGAGATAAATCTAAAGGAAAAGGAACACCTGTTAACAGGTAGTGATGCCGCAGGAAAGTGCTGGGAAGGGAATGCTGGGAAGGGAAGGGCGTGGTCCCTTTAAAGATAGGGAAGGGGGACGGGAAGTGCTGGGTAGAGGAGGGCGTGGTCCCCGGCTAGGGCTTCACCCCTGGGCCTGTGCCCACGTAGGTGAGGACAGGTATTTTTGTTTTCCTGCCCAAATGTTGCATTTCCCAAGACCACCCTGGGCTGCCATGCCCTCATCCTGTGCCTATAAAAACCCAGAGACCCTGGCAGGCAGACACACAAGCAGCTGGACGTTGAGAGGAGCATATCGGCAGGGAATACAGGAGCGGCTGGATGTGGAAAGGAAGGCACCAGCATAGGAGCACACCGGCATGGTCGCAGGCCATTGACCAGCGGAAGGATGCGGGGTTTCTCCAGGGAGGTCAGAGAAGCGTCAGGCGTCCATACATGACTCCAGGAGAAAACCCATCTCCCGTCTGCCGAGAGCTACTTCCACTCAGTAAAACTTTCCACTCATTCTTCAAGCCCACGTGTGATCCAATTCTTCTGGTACACCAAGGTAAGAGCTCGGGATGCAGCAAGCCCTCTGTCTTTGCGATAAGCCTGGGGTCTAACTGAGCGAACACAAGCCGCCTACAGACGGTGAAACTAAAAGAGCAGCCTGTAACACACGCCCACTGGGGCTTCGTGGGTAAACATTCACACCTAGACACTGCTGTGGGGTCGGAGCCCCACAGCCTGCCCGTCTGTGTGCCCCCATAGAGGTCTGAGCAGCAGGGCACTGAAGAAGCGAGCCACACCCCCATCACACGCCCTGCAAGGGGGACAGGGGAACCTTTCCCGTGTCAGTAGTAGACCATAAAATAAATGATCCTCACTTTTTCCAGCATCCTCTCCAATTTTTCATTCTTTTCAATCATTATACACAAGGGCAGATATATTTAGTGTTACTGATAAAGGAACTATTTGTAAAATTATTTTTATATAAATTTAGAATGCATTACACAATTTTGTTTGGTAAACTGTTTCTGTTCCTAAATAGAGCTTACTTATAACTAGCAATACTTCAGGAGGCTTTTCGAGACTTCGATTTTAAAACATAGGGTGCGGCCAGGCCCGGTAGCTCACATCCATAATCCAGGCACTTTCGGAGGCTGAGGTGGGTGAATGGCTTGAGCCCAGGAGTTTGAAACCAGCCTGGGCAACATAGCGAGATTCCTGTCTCTAAAAAAAAAAATTAGGCCAAGCGTGGTGGCTCACGCCTGTAATCCCAGCACTTTGGGAGGCCGAGGCCGGCTGATCACCAGGTCAGGAGATCAAGACCATCCTGGCTAACACAGTGAAACCCCGTCTCGACTAAAAATACAAAAAATTAGCTGGACGTGGTGGCGGGCACTTGTAGTTCCAGCTACTTGGGAGGCTGAGGCAGGAGAATGGTGTGAACACAGGAGGCGGAACTTGCAGTGAGCCGAAATTGTGCCACTGCACTCCAGCCTGGGCATTAGAGTGAGACTCCGCCTCAAAAAAAATATAAAAAAAAAATAAAAAAATTTAAACAAACAGGTGACTACATATCAGCTGTAGTAATTAACTCATGTAAGCTTCCTAAGCCATGCTCTTCTCATCTATAAAATGGAGATAATAATAGTGTTCTTTCTTATTTTACAAAGCTTTGTGAATGAGGCAGGAGACGTGGGAGAATGGTGGAATACCAGGCAAATTAAATAAAATTCTCTTATTCTAATTGGCCATTCCCAAGTATCTATAATTGATGTCAAGGACACAGTGCAGAAGCATACAAGGCAGCAAAAGGAAATCAATTTGAGATACAGAAATCTCCACAGGAAGAATAACGAGTTGGCCCAATACCTATAATGCATTTTAAAGTAATCACTTAGAGTTTCCTTGAACATATTAAATGAGAATTAAAAATAATGTTTTTAGTCTACTTGGAGCTGCCTAAAATTTGGTTTAAATGCTTATAAAGATGGTGCATGGCAGGACTGTGAGATTTCTTGATGTCTTAAAAACAGCACTCTTAAGTCTTAACAAGGAAAAAGCCTCAAATGGAATCTTAAGTGATGTTGCAAATGGAGCGCGTCTGTGTGTTGGAGGTGGATGGGGGAGTTTCAGACAGCTGCAGGCTCTCTTACTTCCTCTAAACTTCATGGCTTTCAATTTATCAGTCTCAGAAGGATGAAGAGTTGAGTCCCTCCTGATAGCATTTGAAGCGGTGGTTCCACAGAGGATTTAATGCTGTAGTTGCAGGGAGTCTAGGTGTTTCAATTCTGAGGCTTAAAAAACTAAGCCAACCCCTCCGGCTTTTGCACTGATGCTGTGAAATCCATTTGAGAAACATGTCCATGTTTTGCTACTTGTTCAAAGCTGTAAGCGTGACTTCGCATTGAAATGATAATTTCTTTTTCAAAACTCCCCACTGAACTATTACCTAGGTTATCTAAATACAGGCTATTTACTTGACTGGCATTTGCTCTTGTCAGTTTCACAAACTGTAAGTAATGATTTTTTGCTGATGTTAGAGCACTGTGGTACTGTGTTTCTAATTTAAATCAATGTCTACATTAATCTGGGAACACTTGATGTTACTACCTGATTGTATATTCTGGATGTAATTAGAG